GGGGGGGGCACACGGAGGGGGGGACGCGTGCGGCCATGGTGGGGACACACGGGGCTGCAGGGGGACACGCAGGGTGTGGGGGGCCCCGCGGGGCGGCGGGGGGGTCAGGCGGGGTGTGGGGGGCCCCGCTGACCCCCCGTTGCAGAGCTACATCCGCAGCGTGCGGGAGCGGCAGCAGGAAGGCGGCGCCGCGACGGGCCCCGAGCGCCGCGGGGACCCCCCCGCCGCCCCACACCTGCCCTAGGGGCCCGGACCCGCCCCCCGCGCCTGTGCCTTTAAATAGTCAAATGGACTGCTGCAGGCTCCGCCCCTGGGGCGGGGCTAGCGGGGGCGGGGCTGTGAGGCTGCCCCCGCCCCCCCGTTGGGGCGACCCTCTATGGGGCAGGCGGCCCCACTGCTGCCCCCCAACCCACTGGCAGCCCCACGGCTGGGGGGAGCCCCAGGCGAGACCCCCCCCAAAACACTTTATTTTTGTAGGAGCCCCCCAACCACTGCCCCCCCCCCCCCGGGACCCTCAACCCTGCCCGGGGCGGGGGGCCGGGACCGCCTTGTACCGGCCGCGACATTAAAGAGCATCCGGACACGGGGCCGCCGTCATTGGGGGTCTGGGGGGGTCACACCGACCCCAGCCACGGGGATCGCCCGCGATTCCAGCCCTGTGGAATGATGGGGSGTGGGGGGGCTACACACAGAGGGAGGCCCTGTCCCCGTCCCGAGGGGTCCTGGCTGTGACATCCCCCCGCCGGGGCCGCTCCGACGCCCAGCGCCCGGACGCCTGGGCCCTTTCCCAGCCCTTCCTCAGCCCCCTGCAATGGGATTTGTGGCGGGGGGCAGCAGGTCTGCCTGGGTGTCTGGGCATTCCCATGGGAGCCGGACAGGAACACGGCAGCTCCTCCGGCTCCGCRGCGCAGCCCAAGCGCCCGGTCGCTACCGCAATTTTATTATTGCCTCGTTTTGAAAAACGCCGSGAGCGGGGGCCCCACACAGACCACGGCGGGCAGGGGCCGGGGGCAGGAGGAGCCGCCGCCGCCGCCCGCCCGGCTGCCCCTGCCCAGGAAATTAAAACCCAGAGAGAGGGACTCCAGAGCCGCCGAGTTTCCAACCCCAAGAGCTGGGAAAAACTGTTCGGAAAAATAACCCAGAGCACCCACGGAAAGGCAGGGCGCGGGCAGGAGGCGCCCGGCGCCCCGTCCGAGCGGCCGCCGCTCCGGGGCCCCGCGCGGCGGCAGCGGAGCCGCTTCCCGCCCCGCCGCCCGCCCCTCACAAGTCCCGCTCCAGCTCCTGCAGTTCCTCCTGCAGCGCTTTCCTGCGGCCCAGCTTCTCCAGCTGCTCCCGCGTGGGCTGCTTGAGGTCGCCGGCGTCGAGGCGCTGCTGCAGCTCCTGCACCTGCCGCAGCTTCTTGCGCAGGTTCTTGATCTTGCGCAGGCGCTCGGCGGCGGCGCCGTCGCAGGGCGGCTGCGGCGTCGCCTCCTCCTCGCCCGGCGCCTCCGTGGCCCCGCCGCCCAGGGAGCTCCTCTCCAGCGCCTGCACCAGTCCGTCCACCTCGGGCTCGCCCTTCTCCTGCTGCTGCTTCCGCTTCTCCTTGCGTTTCAAGTTCCTTTTGGCGGCCTTGGAGAGCGCGGCGGCGGCGGCGCCGTCGGGCCGCGCGCCCGCCTCGGGGCTCAGCCCCGGCGGCAGCTCGGGTTTGCTCTTGAAGAACTTGACGTATTTGTTCTCGTACCTGCGGGGAGCGCCAGGCCGTGAGGCCGCGTGCACCCGCCGCGCGCCCCTTCCCGAGCGCCGCCGCCCGCCCTGCGGAGCCGTCCCGAGGGGTCCATCCTGCCGCGGCGCCCATACATACCCGTGAGGCCCCGCCTACGGGGCGGGGGGCGGCATGGCTCGCACCTGGAAAGAGACCGAGACCTCGAGACGGAACCGGCCCCGCGCGCGGCTGGGGGGAGGCGACGCACACGGGGTCCCCGGGGCGGGAGACTCCGGCGCACGGAGCCCGGGGACACAGTCGGCCAGGGGCAGAGACAGTCGGACGGTCGCCTGACAGCCAGCCGCGCTCCCAGCGTTGCCAGCGCCACGGAGCGCCCCGCGCCGCCTCCGCGCGGGAGGAATTCCGGCCCCACGAGGGGCTCCCGGGAAGGCGCCCGGAGCCGCGAGCGGCGCCAGCCCCACTTACACGGGCACCTCCTCCTGCGGGACGTAGCCCTCCTTGACCCGCCGCTGCTTGCGCCAGGTGCCGTCGGGGCGCTGCGTGGACGCGATGTACTTCCCTGCGGGGAGAGCGGGCGTCACGGGGGGCACGGAGAGCAAYGGGGGGCAGCCCTATAGAGAGGGGGGGCGAGGGGGAAGGCCCCATAGAGAGGAGGAGGGGAAGGAAGGCCCCATAGGGAGGAGTAGTGAGGATGGAAGGTCCCATAGAGAAGAGGGGTGGGGAGGAGCAGCCCCACAGAGGGAAAGGGGAGCRAACTGGACCCATAGAGAGGAAAGGTAAGGAGGGGATCAGGCCCACAGCGTCGGGGGGAAGAGCCCCACGGASGGGGGGCAGCCCCCTAGAGAGAAGACAAGGGGGAGGAGCGGCCCCACGGGGACGAGGGGCGCGACTGACGCTATAGGGGAGCACAGGAGGGGCCCGACCCTATAGATGGGGGGGCTGGCCCCACAGCGCCGGGAGAGCGGCGGCAGCACGGCAGGGCACCCCAGCGGTGGGGAGCAGAGGGTCCTGCCCGGGGGGGCAGCGCTGCCCCCCAGGGGGCTCCTCAGCCCCACAGAGCAGGGAGGGGCGGCCCGGGGGGCGGCCCCACGGCGGGCGCGGGCAC